ATGAGAATTTAATAATTTTATTTTATTTTTATAATTTGATTAAAAAATAAATATTACCAACCAAAATGTCTTTAAGGCTTAACTCAGGATAAAGTGATTTTCTTAAAGTTGATCTATGAAAAAAAAAAAAAACGAATTGAGACTATCCTTGTGTCTCATTTAATGGTTCCCTGAGTCTCTTGAGTTAATGCTCGACCCGTAACGAGATAAAGCTGACTTCATCTTCACAACAAAAAGTTAGTAAAACATTAGGCCCACGTATCACTGCAACAATTAACACACGTAATGTCAATATTATCAGTTTGGAAGGATAGTTTTCAGTCGAGCTGTTTTAATAGAAAGCACGAATTTACCAATGGCTATGGTGCCGTTCCACATCTGGGTGACGTTTTTGGTTGCGCCTCATTGAAGGAGTCCTGGTCAGGAGAGGGGGTGAAAAGAAAGAAGACATTATTGAAGCTTGATTAATTCTCTGAGAATTCTAAGATCATCGAAGTCATTATAATATACTCCGTAGATGAAATTAAGAAAGGAATCATCGATGAAGTTTCATTCCTTAATTTCACGCATTCAAATAGTGCAGACGGTAGAAAAAATTTCTGAATTGTAAAATCGTGGAAGTTATATATACAGATGAACTTAAGAAAGCACACATTGAAGAGGAAGCTTCGTCTCCATTCATGCGTTGACGAGACCAGCTAGATTACGTGTAGAAAAAATATTCATGCGTCTCCATTCTAAATGCATGGTTACCTTTAAATGGAGGGGGTGAAAAGAAAGAATCCATTATTGAAGCTTGATTAATTCTCTGAGAATTCTAAGAACATCGAATTATAAATATACTCCGTAGATGAAATTAAGAAAGGAATCATCGATGAAGTTCCGTTCCTTAATTTAATGCGTTCAAGTCAATGTGCACGCTGTAAGAATTGGATTATGCGTAAGGAACAACTAGACAGTACCCGGTGCCGTAGCACGGGAACATACAATAAATTAATTTATATTTTTAATTTTTATAAATTTTAT